CACCGTACACCGTATCAAAACAGGTGAGAAAATTCTGTCTCTGGGTCACAATCTCAGAGAAATCCTAGAATTCCGTTTCCTTTTTCTCCTTTTCTCTTTTCATTCTACACATTTAACAATTTTTTACAAAACAAAATATTCTGGAGTGGAAAAAGAGAACTGTAACAAGACTGTTACACTAAGTGACTCTGGGCAGAAATAAGAAATTCAGAGAAAGATTCATGGAAACCTTGGTCATCGGGGAAGGCCGTGTGGATGAACCTCTTGAGTGGAATTTGAGGTTGACTTTGCAGGGTGGGCCAGGTGTGTAGAGGGTTTGCGGGAGGATTACTGGCAGGGAAAACGACCTGATGGAAGGCTGAGAGATGGAGATAGGCTCGGTATATAGTAAAGGGACCTGGCTGCAGTGAAGGGTTTGATTGGCTGTCCGTGGCAAATGAAACTGGAGAGAAGGTGGAGCCAGAGTAGGGAGTTGCCGCCTTTAGGGACTAGGATTATAAAATTTTGCTTTTAACATAGAATTGGAGGATGTGAAGTTTTGTTAATGCAGACGCTTTGTTTTAATAGATTAATGGAAAGTGGAGTGGTCAGAGTGCTGGAGGATGCGGAAATTTCCAAGAGACTCATAAAAATAATCCCATTTACCAATTCCATGTAGAAAAGACTGGGCCATTACTGATTGAGCTAAGAGGACCAAGGTTTGTGATGAGTAACTTTCTTAAATTAATAATGTACTAAAAATGAGCTTAGTGGAACAGAATAGGGTGTTGAGACACACCTATGCATATACGGATGCTTGATTTAGGAAAAAGATGGCATTGTGTAGGAGCAAGGAAAGGGTATCTGTGCAGTAAGTAGTGCTGGGATAACTGAGTATCCCTGTACCAAAAGGTGACTAAGACCCCTGTCGCATATCAAATCTCAAAACCAATTCCCAGTGGGTTACTATATAGGAGATATCTTAATAAAAAGATTTTTACATGTGCTGTTAGTAAGAAAAAGTCTTCAGTTTTTTAAAAATAAAAACTTGCCCTGACTGGCGTAGCTCAGTGGATTGAGTGCGGGCTGCGAACCAAAGTGTCGCAGGTTCGATTCCCAGTCAGGTCACATGTCTGGGTTGCAGGCCATGGCCCCCAGCAACTGCACATAGATGTTTCTCTGTCTCTCTCTTTCTCCCTCCCCTCCCTCTCTAAAAATAAATAAATAAAATATTTTTTTAAAAAGAATGTTTAAAAAAAAATAAAAAATAACTTGATCAGGCATGTCCTAAGAAAGATAATCTAAATGGCCAGTAACCATTGTTAAGAGCCAGAAATTTGAAACAGTCCAGATGTGCATCAGTGGCATTTTAAGATTATAAAATAGTCAAAACAGAGTCCTACATAACAATGAAAATAAATTACAGCTCCCCGAAACATTATGGACAAGTCTTAAAAATAACACTGAACAATAGGAGCCACATGTGACAGAATATATATGGTTTCACTTACATGGAGTCAAAGACAAGCAAAACTACACTGCCATTTAAGTCCCACTATCCACAGGGCAGGAGGGTGGTTAAAAGTTAGTGTCGTGGGCACAGGGGTGGTGGCCGGAGGGGAGGCTGCCCGGGCTTCCGTGCGCTGGGAGGGCTGTCTTCACAGAGGTCATGGTGCCCAGGTGTTTCCTCACCTTACAAATTATTGGTTGAGTTAGGTATTCATTTTGTGTACGTTGTGTTACATTTTACAATTTTTAAAAATTTTAAAACTAGAGAATACAAATAAAAACTAGTACTTCTAAATAAAACTAGGCTTAATTGTGCCTGCCTTACAATCTAATTCAAAAGAAACGAATAATCCCCATTCAGATATGACTAAGCTGTTTCACAGTCTTTTCAGAAGCTTCACCAGTCTGCTAGGTAACACAAGGAATCTCGTTGCGCTTTTGTGTTTAATTTCTGGATAGATTGAACACATGCAAGTACTTGACAATGTGTATTTTTTCCTGTATTGCCTAATTCATGTCTTTTGCCCATTTTTCTGTTGGCGTTGTCATGTTTTTCATAATTATACGCATGAATAAGGGTATGTCTGTAAGAATATGACTCCTTCACATATTTCTAAAAAATTGTCCCCATCACCATTTAAAGTAGTCAGTCCTTTCTGCTTTATTTTGTTGTGGGCGGGAACTATTGCCCCAATAGTAAATAAATTTTCACCATATTTCTTCTAGTTCTTTTATGTTTTTATTTTTTCACATTTTACGTTTTACTCCATATGGAATATATTTTTGTATTTGGCGTGAGATAGTGTAGCAGTTTTTTCTAAGTTTTTGTTACCTTACCACCCCTTAAATAATCCTTCCTTTCCCTACTGATTTGGAGTGCCACACGTTACTATTTTGATTCTTTTTCAGGGTTTTATCTTCTGTCCCACGTTCTCTACCTAATACAATGACAGTATTTTGTCATTTAAATATAACATTATCTGGGAGCCTATAGTAAAAACATAGTCTCTTCTAAAATAAGTTTAATATTAACTTTGTTTTCAATTTGAACCTATAAATGGTGTGGTGTTTTTTATGATTAAGAGTAGAAATAGTATGCATGTGTTTCAGAGAGTTGTTTCTTCCTACTGAAGCTTTGTAGAAAGCACAAAGTTGATTTTAATAGTACACCTGCACTCTAGGTATACGTATTTGTAGGTACGTATTTATTTGAGACTACTTAGCAGTAATTCTGTTCCTCTTTACTGCTAGGCAATACAGTGTTGGCTTTGAAGTTGTAGCAGTGTCTGTGGTGGGGGACCCCGGTCCCCATGGCTTTCAGAGGAAATCCAGTGGTGACTACAGGTAAGGCTGGCATTTTGATTATATCTGATGTACATTTTGCTTTTCATGGAGCCATCTTCTCTAAACCTTTGTCTTTATTTTCCCTGAATATAGGTGTGGGTTTTGCTACCTGGAACTAGAAAACATACCTGCTGGGATTTACAATATCATTCCTAGTACTTTTTTGCCTAAACAAGAAGGACCTTTTTTCTTGGACTTCAATAGCGTTATCCCCATCAAAACCACACAACTTCAGTGATGGGAAATCTCAGCAATTACTGGATTTTATACTTAACAGTCGGCTCTTCAAATGAGGACACAAATCTCCAGGACAGTAAATATAATGATCAGAACAGAATTCTCAAAAAAAAAAAAAATGTTACAGTGGAATCTGGTGCTCAAGTCAGGATGTTTAGTGAGAATTGTACATAGTCAAAATTACCCTAAATTTCTTTAGAGGTACCATTTACATGGTTGTGTGTGTATGTGGAATTGGCTTGCATTGTTGGCTTGCAAAAAAAGTACAGATGACTAGAGTTTATCCTCAGCACTGTGATACGCCTTTGCCGAGAGGGAACTGAGACCAGATGAGGGACACGGACTCACTGAGTGGAGTGGTAGGCTGAGAGAGTATTCTGAAAAATTTACATTGTTTGTCTTTCTGGCAGAGCATGTTGTAGTGAACCTGCCATGTTACGACTCTACTGTACATCTGGGGTAACCAATTACCAAATGAATTATGTCACATAACAGATTTTAAGTCTGCATCATTCGTGACTTTAAATGTTTGTTGCCCAGATGTTCTGAAAGAATCAAGTTTTAGGAAATACTAGTGACTTAGCATGAAGGTGCTCATGCTTAAGAATGAAGGCTGTTGACGTTAGGCCCTGTCTCCCACGGAATCGCGTGAAGAGGACTGAGACGTGCACTCACTACTGCAGTCATTTGTTACCAGGGTGGCGCAGGTCGTCTGCGACATGGAGGACATCACTGTCTAGGTGGTATATTCTGTTTTCAATTACTGTGTAGTTCACTGCTCTTCCGGTAACAGCACTCCGAAGAAAATACGGTTGAGAATATACTGTAACTGAAGCTGCATTGGGAAAACTTGCAAAGGTACTACTGTCGTGTGTAAATTCCCAGTTGTTTACATAAGAATCTATCAAAGCAGAATAATGCTCGAGATTTTAAAGATCTGAAAACAGGTGGTATTTTTCATCATCTCTACTTTATAATTTATAATCAAAACTTTTGTATTTATGCTACCTTGAATTGAAATAAAATGTTTATACTTATGGAAACTGCATCGTTTAACCTAGAAAATTCATTCTTAAAGGAATCATCTTGTATGTTCTATCTAAAAGAGAACTCATTATTTGCTTGAAAATTCACACTTCAGAAAAATTTATTCTTTAATATTTAGGATAGCAGTCGATTATTATACTGGTGATATTTCACTTTGGTAAATATTTAGTGCTTTCAATTTTAAAAACTAATTTTAGGTAGATTAACTTTCTTTGGCCCTTTAAAGGAAAATCTAAAGCCATTAGAGCTATATTTACCACAAACACATATGATTAAATCTCCTGTGTTAAAGACCTCCTTACAGGGTACAGACTGAATTAAGATCTAATCCCTGCCCTCAAAAATTTAGGTGTTCAATCCCTGCATTCGCTGCGAGGGCCTAACACCGGACACCTGTGCATGAGCAATTTCCTGTACTGTGAGGTTGGGTTCTACAGTAGCGGTCCAGACACAGTGCCACAGATGTACAAGGAAGGGGAATCTCGAATTCTGGCTAGACCAATATGGACAGAGAATGAAGTTGGCTGCAGAGCTTTTAAAAGGCCAATGCCCAAGCACCCCCAAATCAATTTAAGTCAGTCTCCAGGGCTCCGGGCCAAGAGCAGCACTTGTTAAGCTTCCTAGGAGACCCCGCTGCGCAGCAGGTGTTGAGAACCACTCTTCCAGTGACACTGCTTTGTCTTCACTCTCCTGCTGCCATCTCCTTATTGCTTAGCTTTGTAGCAGCAGGTTTGGAATTCTGATTCAAAGCTTGGTCATAAGGGCCTGAATTATTAGGACCCACGACTTTCACTGCATCCCATGCTCTGCCTATGGCAAGAGAGTTGCTCCAGTGCAAGGTTTAGGCAACATCAGGATTTCTCATTTGAACTAATAGAAAGGTAGACATTTTCAGTGGTTTTTATTACACTCAAGGTATTAAGACAAGTACAAAATAACCTTATAATGAAGATACCAGATCAGTCATTAAAAAAGGAGAAAACACTGCAGTATGAAGAGATTTACAAATGACTAAAATATACAAGTTTTGACAATTAACAAACAACTTGAAATGGGGTTGCTTTTTTTCCTTTTAGAAATACCAAGTTTTAACAAATAAAATACAGTGCTCTTAAATATGTGTAACCATGAAAACATGAGAAAAGCAGTCGTAATACACACTACTATTAGTATTATGACAGATCCCATTGCATCTATGTAACAGCCACTGCCAACACATGCCTGCTCCCTTTCCTAGCTTTAAGAAACAATTCCCCCTAAGGAATACTAGTAGCATAACCCTTAATTTTTTTTTAAGTTACAGCCTACAGAGAAATGAACACCTTGTCAGTCTAGAATAACAATGGCAACCATTCTTCACATGCACTTCCCTTAGAGTAAGTCCCCTTGGCTGGTGGGAAAGGTGGTACACTATGCTACAGCGCCTTCTCCCCCACCGCCACGAATCCCATCCTAGGACGTGTCCGTGCCGCCCTCATTCTCCCCACCCCACCACCCCTCCCCACACTGGCATTCCCCTCTCCCACCCCAAAAAGTGCAGCTCATAGTAACCTTTATAGAAAATGGTTTTAATGGGTGTACCAACATACACTTTCTTTAAAGCCCCTTCTGAATACCAGAGGCTACCAAAATGAATTATGTTCCTGGATTGTTTAAGCTTTCACTGGGTCAAAAAGGGTACATTCTGAATATTTGAGTTTTGTCTTGCATTCTTTTTGTCCATGTAGATCCCCTAAGATATAAAGGGGAACATCTCTGTTTTCCCAAACTGAGGATGAGAGAAGGGAAAGAGAAGCAAGCTGTTGGCCGAGGCAGGGCTCAGCTTGCCAGCCCCTTTCCTGGCTCGGGTTCTCGTGTAGGAACTACTTATTGCTTCCGTAACACCGTCACAGCTAATGTCCCACCAAGACCGCGTGCACCGCTCACGGCGCACCCGCAACAGCTCCGCTCTGGGAAACGCACCAGCTCCGGAGCTCTTACCCAGAAGAAAGATCTTCGGCCCTCAAGATCACCAAAACTCCGTTAGTGCAGTTTAGAGTAAACGCTTACGATTTGGCATGTGTTAAATGAGTGTTGGCACAATGTTCTCCGTACAGTTTTCACGTACAAACAGTGATGCGCACTGGGGCCGGGGCCCCGGACGGCTCAGCCGATCTGCACCACCTTTATGTCAGCAATAAGCCCCTCTCGACCCTTCGCGCAGTGCAGGGAGAGCTGCTTAATGCGGTTCGCCAGGGCCTGGACCTCGGGGGAGCTGCTGCTCTGACTCTTGCCACCGTCACTGCTGCTGTTGCGAAGACCCCGATTGTTGTTGGCTTTGTCGCTTGTTTTGTTCTCCGCCCCTTCTGCTCTGTCTCCTATAGAAATGTTAAAGGTAAAGTGAGTCAATGGCCATTCCAAGAGTGACTTAGGCCCCAGCCAACCAGCCAACTTGGCCCTCTGGAATCCCCCAGTGCTGCCCAGCCATGCATGTCACAGGGTTCTCCACATAACTGCTTACTGCTTTCATTCCTCAAGTCGTTTTACACACTCAGCTTATCTGCAGAGGTGAAAGCTGTCATACTTATTTATAACAGCTGAGAGACACAAACCTCCCTAGCATGTGCTTGTCCAGAGAACTACAGTCGTGAGAGACACAGAACCGAAGCTCTGGAGCCAGGACCTGGAGACTGTCGCGGTGCTCAGCCCCGACGGCACACTCACACAGACCGCCCGCCACAGTGCTGGGGCTCCAGGACCTGGCGAAGGTCTAGCCCAGCCCGGTGCAGAGGTCTGGCTGCAAAGGCAGTGAGGCATACGGGACAGCACTACCGGTGACAGTGCGGCCACTCACCTCGTTCCACCTCACACTCTGGGGAGGAGGCCCCGCTGCATTCGCTGCGAGGGCCTAACACCGGGAACATCATCCCAAACTCGGACAGGGACACAGGGCTGGGCAGATCCAGGCTGCCAGGCCTCACAACTGCAGAGAACTGGTCAGCCGGCTCAGACGGGCTCATCGGTCCTGAGCTAAAGCTGGACACGGACTGGGTTTCTGAGTCATCTTCAGATACAAAGTTGCTGCAGTTGTCGTCTTCAAAGGCCTCGGAAGCCACTAGGATGAGAGAGAACAGCGGTCACACAGGGACTGGCAGACAGCAGCGTAGGTCCTTAAGATGCCTCCAGAAGGGTTTGTTGCCAGCAGACTGCTAGACACGGCATGGGGGCTGCAGAATCCCTGCCACCGCGGGTGCCTATCAGAAAGGGAACGTGACCCCCCTGCGCATGGATGCCCAGACCGCAGTGCAGCTCGAAGGGGAGGGGCTGGTGGCTGGATCCCAGGGACAGTCAGCTTCATTACAGTGGCTTCCTAGCCAGCGTGCACCCTAGGAGTTAGTGTCAGTAGACGCTGCCTAGAGGCAGAAGATGACATCAGCCACAGACCAGGGGCGTTTCTCTACCCTGGTCTCCAAAGAGTCACAGGTGCACAGGAAAAGGGCTGGCTCTCTGTAACAGATCCCCATCAGAGCTGGTCCGACATCAGGCCTCTCTTCCACTGCAAATGAAAGCAGGAGCTGCCTGCTGGGACCTTTGTTATCTTCCAGGCAACTTCTGACCTCAAAGACACGCTCAGAACCTACCTAAGTTAGATCTGCTGCAAAAGAAAATTCCTTCCCAGTGCTCTGTGGCTTGGGCCTCACTTGCTTTGTAGACCAGAGTAACCAAGGCCCAGAGACAGGTCATTCTCGAGGTCTGAAAGCCGCTCCCGACTTTATCTGTTTCCCCCTTTGCCTCGACATAATCCTGCTTCTTATCAGAGGTTTCCTCTTCCACTCCCCTTTCCTCTCTGCTCGTCCTTAAAAACAGCCTTATAGGACCCCCTAGGGGATCATCGTAAATGAGAAATACTGAAATGTGGGGAACAGAACAGGGGCTCACAGCTGAACTCCAGTCCTACTTCCACTACAAGGTACTGAACCTCTCCGAGCTTCACGTTCCTCTGCACACAGGGTTTATGAGACGATGTGTATTAAAGTCCTCACACTGCTGTTGCTCAAAATACGGTCTCCTCTTCCTTGACCTTGGGCCTGGCACTGAAGTGTTTGCTGACTGAATGAAAGAACACCTGAGAGAGGAGCTTGGGAAGAGCCAACAGGGACTATCCCACAGAAGAGGAGGTGTGCCAGGACCGTGCTGGTGGGGTTTTCTTAGTTAACACACAGGGAGCCGCACCAAACCTCTGTCACCGGTTTCCCAGGAGGTGGCCCTGGAAAAAGGCTCCCCGTGGCCAGACACCAGTGAGACCACCTTTATGGAGCACTTACTGGGTGCCAGTGTTACTTCATTTCGTCCTAACCACCACGCTACAGTAGACGGTAGGTGCTATCACACTCCCCATTGTGCAGGTGAAGCTACGAAGATGTGAAGCGAAGCTCCTGCCTGCGTGATGTACGAGTAATGATGGGAAGGCCAGGATTCGAATCAAGTCTAATTCCAAAGCCCCTGCTCCTAGACCACCCTTCTTTCCTGCAGTACTTCTCAGACTCTTATACGTTCTAATGCATACTTGGAACCTCAGAGGAGCAAACATACTTCATTTTCCAAACTTAGTTAACCATAGAATCCCAACTTTGAGGAACACTTGTAACATCTTGATGAGCGCAGTGTCCCACAAAATGTGGGAAGCCACCAGAAGTAGCCCTCACTCCCACCCAACTGTGAGGCCCTTCCGTGACGGTGAGACAGCCTGGGCGCAGGCCACACAAGCTGTGTTGGCTCCTCGCTGGCACACGAGCCCCCGACTCACCAGAAACGGCGTCGGGCTCGGGTTTGCTCCCTGACAGGTCCTCTGCAGACGTGCTGCTGCCCTCGGCCCCGACACCGCAGCCCCGAGGCCCCATGGCGCTGGAGCGCCGCCGCTCGTGGATCTCGTCCGAGATCATCTCCAGGTTCTTCAGGGCCGTCTTGTACTCGCCTTTCGCCAGGGCCAGTTTGGCCTGTAGGTCATCTACAGTCTTCTTCAATTGCTGGTCAGGAGAACAGGAGGCCCAGTAAGTGAAGGCTGCCCTTACTGGCCGTGTGATGCTTTTGATTGACAGGCTCAAGCGTGTTTTCTGCCCATCACTCTACTCCAAAGACTCCCAATCATGACTGAGGACCCGATGACTTCTATCAAAGCTGCACCAGATACAAAAGCAGCCACCACCACCCCCAACTCCCATCCCGGTGACAAACTAAAGCCGTATCATCCAGAAGCTACTACCGGTAGAGTAAACCCCATCAGAGATGCAACAATGGGTGTCAAACACATGGAAGTCCCACGTTCTAGCCATCTGGTCCCCAGCACCGTGGTTCTCACACTTGAGCTTGCATCAGAATCACCTGGAGTTCTTGTTAAAGCTTAGATGGCTAGGCTCCACTTAGTTTCTGATTCGGTGGCTCTAGGGTTGGGGGCCCAGGAACCTGCACTTCTAATCAGTTCCCAGGTGGTGCTGGTGCTGATGCTGCTGAGCCTAGGAACACACTGAGAACCACAGCGCAGTACAATACAGAAGGTGACCGATACAGAGAACGTCAGGGACCACTCAACACCGAGCCAAGACCATCTTGAGGCCTGAAAACTCAATAAAGAATGTCTCTCTGCTCTCCTCTTGTAGCAAATGTGCTCCATGAGAGTCTATCACAAAAAGTGGAGCTTTGCAGAAAAATCCCATCAGCAACAGAGCCAAAGGCCACACCTACCTCAAGCTGCACATAGTACTTTGCCTTGAGTTCAAAATAAGGCCTGTGAAAGACAGAAGAAATAACGTAAGAGTAAGCACTTTCTCCAAGTCACTATTGTATAAAAAGACACAGGAGTGGTAGTGAGAAGAGCTTGGGGAAAACCCCCATTAAAACCAGTCTTGCACCATTTCATCAGCTCTTGGTCCACAGATAACATGTACTGTGCACACAGCTCACCCTCATTACTGACAGATAAACAGGCCCAGCCAATGGGCCATGGAATGATTTGCTTTTGAAATTCCGCATTCTCCTTCCCAGGAGTAACTCAGCATCTTGTCCCTCCAGGGCACAGAATATTGAGGGACGGGGGTACCTGGGCAGGGGACTCTGGAGAGGCAGGTCCCTGAGCACAAGGCACATAAAAGACTGAGAAGATTCGGGAGAGAATGACCACAAGGGTCCTCACGCCCAGACTCACTTGGATTTGTTGATGGCTCTCTTGAGTTTCTTCTCCAGCTGCCGCATGCGGCCCATGGCTGCGTTGTACCTGGCCGCCGTCTCCTTGTGCACCAGCTCGCTCCTTGTCTTGGTCTGCTCTGCCTCCATGACCTTCAAAGGACAGCAGAGGTCAACCCAGCCAAGCCCAGAACTTGTATTTTTTTTTAAATATCCTTTGAGTAAATCAGCAAGCTGATGAAGATTAAACTAACTTCCATGTAGACTGGGATTATTTCTTCCTACTTTTCTGTTTTGGAAAAATTTTATCAGATAGGACTAAACAGCCAAATTGGCGTGGCAATGACCAGGAAAAACAAAACAAGGAAAAACAAAAAACAGAGAAAAATATGAAGCATTCTCTGATGCAGTCTACCTCCTTCAGCTCGGGCCTCCTGGCTCCACATAGCCACCTTGGGCTCCTCCCACTTCCACCTCGGGGCAGGGACTGATGGGCAGGCGATGGGCGAACAGTTCCCACCACGGGAACTCAGACACCAAGGATCGGGGACACCAAGCAAAACCATGCCAGCATCAGGACTACAAGGCGATCGATCTCTGCAGTTTGGCCCCTCCTTTTCTTTCCCAAATATCCTGAATTACCCAGTGGACACACAAGAATCCAAGATCTAGAAAGGACTAACTTTACATTTGAACAGTATCAAATCATTCATATCAGATTTTGAGGTCCACAAAAATGTATGACCAGGAGACTAGTCAGCACGCTGATGGGAAATTCTGGTGGGAACATTCTGTTAAGCCTGTTGATTAAAATGAATTTTAAAAAAGAAAACCACCCTAGCTGGTGTAGCTCACTGGACTGAGCTGGAGCTGCAAACCAAAGGGGTCACCAGTTCGATTCCCAGCCAGGGCACATGGCTGGGTTGCAGGCTGGGTCCCTAGTGTAGGGGATGCATGAGAGGCAACCACAGATGTTTCTCTCCCTCTCTTTCTCTTTCTCCTCCCCTCCCTAAAAATAAAATACATAAAATCTTCAAAGAAAAAACTCTTACAAAAAAAAAGAAAACCAACAGTCACAAGCCCTTTGATGGCCAAAAGCATGGCAGCTCAAGGGCACACCCCCTGGCACACGGACAATGTGGGTCCTCTCCCCTCACCTAAAGAAAAGCTTTAGAACAAAGCTGGCTTTGCCCTGGGGAGAGACAACAAGGGATTATATAGCAGTTCCAGCCACATGAGCAGCTTGCAATGTCGTTCCTGTCTTCTTCTTACAATTCACACAAGTGTTACAGAAGGAAGTGGACAGACAGAAGTGAGGCTAGTGGGCTGCTGCCTGTTTTCCCCCCGAAAAGCAACAGAGAGGATCCCCGGGGGCCCTCGGGTCACCGGCCCACCCTCTCAAACCCAGCAGGACAGCTGGAGGAAGGCGCCACCACACCTTTAACTCAAGGCTGAAAGAGAGGCCCGCCGTGTTCCGGCGTCCCTCCAGTCGGCAGCCACCGTCAGCCCGGGACGGGCAGTTCACGCACTTATGTATAATAAGGACTTTTTTTTAAGTGTCAGGGGAAATTATGGAAGACTGAAATGAGCATGAACAATTACTGGGCATCCTGTCTAGCATGTCCTCCCAGGGCACCTCTGGCTTTTGTTGTCCCGGAGCTATTTTACAACCTGTAAGTTGTAGAAAACTGAGAGGAATACAAAAGATCTGAGTCCTAGAAGTGAAGATGAATTGCATCCCAGTGGAGGTGCATTTGACTACTGATTACCCTGGAAATCCCCTCTCTCTAAAATCAATAAGCACGTCCTCAGGTGAGGATAAAAAAGGCAGAAACAGAAAAATGTTTTGTTCTTTTTCAAAGAGCACATCAAGTGATTTCTGAAATGGTTTCTTGCTGGCTACTTTGGACCTTTGATTGGGGTACAGGGAGGACAAAAAGGAAAGGCGATCTTCAGCTAGTTTCTTGGAAGGAGCTACTCTAATGTGCATGCATGTGTGTGTCCTTTTCACGTCTCTCAGCCTGTGCAGCTGGTAAATTCCTGAGATTTCTAACTGCTGCCTTGCATTTTCATCAGCTGACCCAGGAAAGCTGTTCCAGCCCGAGTTTGCCTCTGGGCATCGTGTCCACTAGGGGGCAGGAGGCCCAAGGCCACACACGCCCAGCCAGGGGCAGCAGGAGGTAGTTCAGAGTCAACAGCCCAGCCGATGTGACTCCTAAGTCAAATCATTCGTGTGTCAGGCTTTCTATTTAAGGAAGCACAGGGCCATCATTAATTATCCAGTCCCCTGGGACTTGAACTGCTGTGACAAGTGACATTAAAAAGGGAGAGGCTGCTGGCATTAACCCCTGACTTTTCTATTCCTGCCCTGTGACTTTCAAAGAGCGATTTTAGGCCACATGCCTGGGAGTCTGTGTCCTCTGCTCGGGGAAAACGGCGGACTCAGAGCTCAGCAGAACCAGGGGCGGTCTGGATCAGACAGACAAGAGCTCATGTGAAGGCCGCTCCCACCCCACCCATGGGCGTGTGGGCCCCCCGATGTGGACATCCACAAGCACACAGACACTGGCAGACGTGATGCATGTGCACACACCCCTGTACACCCTCCCACAGACACACACAACGATGACTCATACCCTCTGGGTGGCGTGATTCAGCATCTCCTGCCAGGCAGAGTCGAACTGCCGCTTGTCATCCTCCAGCAGCCGCTGCTCAGCCAGGGAGATGGTTTCCTTGGCGGCACGGAGCACCTCCGTGGCCCTCTGGAAGTCCTGCGTGGCTTTCTGAGCTTCCAGCTGAGCCTGTGTGAGAAAGACACACATGAGGCCTCCAGAAGTGGCAGGGGCTCCTGCTGACCCACCACACCCTCCAGAAGAAGAGTGTCCCAAGGGCCTGGACATGCCCTGTCCACTCTGGGAACAGGCCTGGCACCCGCAGGCCTTTGTAAAGTCTGGGTGAGTAGTGAAGGGACAATTTTCACAGCCCAGAACCCAGCGGACCAGATAAACTCACCACCTTTCAATCAGAGTCAGAGATGGCAAATCAGCTCCTTGTGTGATAGGTACGGCCAACCGCGGCCATTCATAGAGTAGTTCTCGTTCACTAATGATGCCCAGGGTGGGCACAGTGGTCCCCAACGCCAGCCCTGCCCAGAGCTGTGGCTCAATTCATAGCGTGTCAGGAGCACAAAGGCCCAGGGAACACACTCCAATGACTTGCAGGCGGGAACTGTGGTGCTGCAAGGGGCCCGCGCCTTCCCCGAGCTCACACAGCTGGTGAGCAGCAGAGTGGTGCCCAGTCTCCAGGCCCTGAGAGTCCCACCCCAGTGCCACCCACTCAACTCCCCCTCATCCTCAGGGAACGTCAAGTGGGAGAACCAACAAACACGACGCTGACCACGTGCAACTACCACCAGCCACGTGTGGCTCTCGAGCATTTGAAAAGTCATGAATCCAAACTGAGCATACAACACACCGTTTTTTTCAAGACTTAGTAAAAAAGTAAAAATAACTACTACCTTAATAATGTCCACACAGATTACATGATGAAATGGCCATGTTTTGAATATACAGCGTTAAATAAAATAAAGATGAATTTTACTTGTCTCTTTTTACTGTTTTCCTGGGGGCACTAGAAAGTATAAAATGACAGGGCTGAGGCGCATTCTGCTTCTTCTGTAGACACACCTCTTTCCAGGGCAGACCACGTGATTGCATCAGAAACCGGCGACTAAGCCCCCGGTCACCACACTTGCGGGCCCAGGTGAACCCAGCCTGAGCACAGGCAAGCCACTGCCACGTGCTGGCCCCTCGGTGAACCAGATCCTCACGTCGGTCACGCAAACTCGGGGACACGTACGGGGCAGCCCCTGGGACTGGGGAGGGGAACAACCTGCCCACCCCCCATCCCCAGACCGCGTCTCACGTGACACAGAGGAAGTCCTCGAAAACCACGAGCGGAGGACACTTTTCAAAGATGGGAACGAAATCGGACTTGGAGCCCATCAGCCCAAGGACAGCTCTGTGTCGCTCTCTATCCTTCAGTGAGCTCGGACTAGACACCACGCAAGCCCCCACCCCGCCCCCTGAGCAATGACTGCGTGGTCGGGAAGCTGACACGGGTCTGGAAGGGACATCCCAAGGTCCGGAATACCAAGCCGGAACAACTGCGGCACTGGACGGAAAGAGCATGCGCAGTAGGGCGTGTGAAGGAGCAATCACCTCCAGCAGAGGGACTGGGGGACAGCTTCTTACAGGAGGAGGGTCCTGTACGGAGAACTAAAGATGAGGATGATCTGAAAACAGGGTGGGGAGGAGGCAGCGGGGAACAGTGTTTTGAAATATAGTATCTGCAGGAGACTTGAAAAGATCCACCTCAAAACAAAATCAAGAGTGACAGCCTGTCACTCTTGAAAGAATCCCAAGATAAAGCTTCAACCAGCAGTGCAGGGACCTGGCTGCCGTGGACAAATGTGTGCCCGTGCAGGCGTGTCTCAGCTACAAGGGGCGGGGAGTGGGGGAAGCCTGTCCCCACAGAACTGGCCAACCCTCTGAGAGGTGACAAGACAGCACAACGGGCTCTCAGCCACACAACTCCCTGCCCCAGACTCTCCCACATGAGGGCAGCCCACCTGGGACTCTCCACCTGCCTAGATGAGATGAAGGAGAAGGAGGAAGCTGGGGCTGGGTCACTTAAAAGCTGCCCCCAGGTTGCACCACAGGCCACCTACAGGCCTCAACCAACCCCAGCCCACAATCATGAATCCTGAAGGATTCTAACGTTTTCTAAGAAGGGATTTATTTGCATGTGTTTTTAAGGAAATTTTAGTATTTCAGTTCAGCAACATTTAAGGGTAAACTCTCTTCCCCGGGTCTCCCTGCTTGAATCATGAAGCTCTTCTTTCCACAAACAAACAAACAAACAAACAAACAAACAGTGGCTGCCATACCCAGGCCAGTGCCTCCTCACCCTCGGCCAGGTCTCTACAAGGAGGAGGCCCAGCTAAGGGGCCTTGCAGAACAAGCACTCTGTCAAGTTCCTGCTGAGTTTCTGAAGGTTCCTCCCCTCCTACACGGTGGTATCAGAATGTGCTTGGCCCCGAAAGATCATGGGTTTCATTCCCATCAGGGCATATACCTGGGTTGCGGGTTCAGTCCCCTGTCGGGGCACATATGAGAGGCAACCATTGATGTTTCTCACATTGATGTCTTTCTCTCTCCCGCTCCCTCTCAGATCGATAAGAATGTCCTCGGATGACAATAAAAAGAAAGAAAGAAATGTGCTTGGCCTTGTCATATCCTGAATACTACTAACATGAGGGTTTGTTCTACACTTAACCCACAGAAACCAGGTGGCATCACCATCCTTCTATATTTATTCGTTCAAGTAAGTGTTAGGCATCTGTTCCTGTACCACTGTCTATTCTCTCCATCATCCTTGGTAATGGAGCCTTTACATCTCAGGCTGAGGCATAAAGACCCTATTGCCAGCTGCCACTATAGGTAGTGCCCCAGTTACTTTCAGCTAGTGAGATATGAATGGGCAGTGAGTGGGAGTTCCAGGAGGGCTCCTCTGTCTTTCCATCTGGGATATGAATACAATGGCTGGTGCTTCAACAGCTATTTTGGATCATGAGGCAACTCTCTTAAGGATGAAAAACAGTTAGGTCTCTGCCCTGGACTGTCTACCTCCTGACTTTCTACATGACAGAAAAAATAGTTTCATGCTACCCTGGCTGGCGTAGCTGAGTGGATTGAGTGTGAGCTGTGAGCCAAAGCATTGCAGATTCGATTCCCAGTCAGGGCACATGCCTGGGTTGCAGGCCATGGCCCCCAGCAACCACACATTGATGTCTCTCCCCGCCCCCCACCTTCCCTCTCTAAAAATAAATAAATAAAATCTTTAAAAAAATAGTTTCATGCTCGAGCCAGTGTAGTTTTGGGGGGTTTCTGTCATATGAAGCCAAATTTAACCCTAAATGATAACACATCCTCCCTTCCAGACAGCTGGGCTATTCTGCAAACCTGACAGGAGTGACAATAGCAGCCAGTGTAGACTGGCCAAACCCCCCTTGATTAATGAGTGTTCATTCTGGCTGTTCACAGCCTATTTTACTATCATTAAGCCCAAGGAATAAAACTTTGGGGGTTTCCTAAGAACCCCAAAGCTCATGGCCTTGTTGTAAGGCATTTTGTAAAATATTTTCTAAAACTATGTGCAAGAGAAGGAACCAGGCAGGTGCACACAAGGAGGGAGCATTTATCACACTCTCGCTCGCCAGACATAGTCGGTTCAGCACTGGTGATGTACCTTCTGGAGGCTGAGCTCCAGCGGGGAGAGGCCCACTCCAAAATCAGGGGTCCAATCTAGTTGGCAAAGCAGACACGTTCATTACAAACTCCCACACAAGACTCATGGTGCCAAGCAACAGGTGGAAAGCACTGTGGGAATGTAAGAGTGACATCAAAGCTTCCCTAGGAGAGGTTCCTCAAAGGGAAGGTGTCGGACAGTCAGAGGCTGCCCGGTGACACCATCAGGCTCAGCCACAGAAACTCAGGTGAATTCCAAAGTTTACACACACATCTGACTGAGAGGGCTCAACCCCCAGATCGCCTCCCGGGGTCGTAATAGGACATACAACCTTGGAATCAGGAGCCAACTCCACCATCTGCAAAAGAGCTGGCGCTCGGGTTCTCCCCGTCACTTGAAAGATGATGCTTAGAAACCTGTGGCACAACCAACGAGATTGTACCTTCAAATTTGAACAAAGGACCCGGGCTCTGGTAGGAACACATTATCTGAATAAGGGCCCTACACTCACAGGCGTCCTGGCAATTAATTTGCTCACAGCAGAGAAGCCCAGTTAGCAAGTGGAGACTCTGCTCAGAAGTGTCCCACAGAGCTCTGAGCTATAAGATGCAACCGAGGAAAAATGTCAAATATCTTCCTGACTCATGGATGAAAATGGCTTTCATGGAAACAGCTCTGTGGAGAGAATTTTAAGAGGCTGCTTATGAATGAATTTGGTAAGTGACCTTTACCAGACACTGGGCCAGGCCAGCTGTGACCGTGAAACACTCGGAAACACGCAGGTGTTCAACAGTGTCGTCAACGGGGGTGCGGGGGTGGGCAGAGAGGTCTGCCTTTGTCCAGGCTGCCAGATGGGATTGGACACAGTCACAGCTGTGACTCAACTTCCACTCCTCCCCACAATCAGTCTCAGGAAGGGACAAGAGCACCTGGACATTTGTGTTGGCTGCAACAAAGGTTCGACGTAGAAGGAAGTCTACAGGCCATCTAGTTCAATCCCTTCATTTTTTAAAGGAGGACCCAACACAGCAAGGCAACTTGCTAGATGACACACAGCTAACCAGGGCCAAAAAACCGGAACCCAACTCCTGGTGGGGCTGTTTCTGCTCTACCATGCAGTGTCAGCCCAGCTGGGTAACTCTGGCAATGACATAATCGGAGGATGAGTGGGCAGTCTACCCATCACTCACGCACAGCGCAGGAGCAGCTCTGGGCCACAGACAAGATGGGGACTCAAACTCTGTGCAGGTCTACGGCTTGCCACCTGCGACTCATGGAGGTGTCACTGAAGCTTCACACAGGGTCACTCACACAGCAGCCAGTTAGCTGCAGAAACTGAGGAGGGGTCCTGTCATTCGGCTGCCCAAAGCCCTGCTCTAGCTGGGGTGGCCCCAAGTTCCAGAGAGAGCCCACGAGATGAGCCAGATTTAGTGCCTGACTGCCCACCAACCGGCTACAGGTGGTTCTGTGAAGACAATCACAAAAGCTACTG